AGTCAGCGAACATTCTGATGCTTTCCGATTTTACAAAATGTCTATCATTATAGCTTTCTTTCCGTATTTCGAAGTTTCACTGGCATAATAGGCTGTTTGATATTGGTATGAGTAGCTAGATAATTAATTTTCTCACCTCCATTAATTTATCCATAAGAGCATCTGAGACAACGCTGCTTTGCTGCCTGTGTCTCTCAGTGTTCTGTTAGGTTTTGTTTAGGCAGGTTCACTTGGAGAAAGAGATACCTGGATTATACTTATTTTGATTTTTATATTACCTTTATTACTTTGTAAACAATTCAAGGCAGCAAACATACCTAACCCTCCTCCCTCCTCCTATTTTCCCCACAACAAACCTGTGAGGAAGGTTGGGTTGAGAGACAGTGACTGGCCTGAAGTCACCCAGTCGGCTTTCACGATGAAGATGGGACTAGAACTCACAGTCGCCTGATTTCTAGACTGGTGCCTTAAGTACTACACCAAACTGGTCCTCACTATTTATGATTTTGCTTTTTAAAAAATCTGGTTGGTTCTTTCTACATTTCTCCAATTCAGTACTCTTTTATCCTTCTTTTTCTCTAACTTTCCGTTTATCAGATCTGTAGTACAGATGCTATTAAGCTCTTTTGATCTGTCTACAATTAGCTTTCAGGACTGAGGTTTCAGAACTACATACCAACTAATCTTGAAACCTAGTAGCTCTGTTTTGGACTTGCTGTTTTCTTAATCTTCTTCAAGGTTAAGTCTCATTTGTGAGACAAAGAGTTTACCACAGCATGTCTTATGATGCAGGTGGCACATTTGCTTGAACTGATAAGGTCCTTTTTTTCCGCTGATGCTGTATCAGTGTTTCCAATGGAATGAGGAACCCTCATTGAAAGCTCAAAACTCTCCCAAAAAGTGAAATGCAACTCATCTGGACAACCGCACCATACATTACTTCCTTCTGGATTAAGCTCTACTGTAGCTTAAGTCTCTCGTGAACTTATCCTGCTCAGGGTCAATTCAGAACATCCATTGCATCACCTGGTTAGATGAAAGATGAGGCAACCTTTGACATTATCACCACACTGATGACAGCCAGTTATCTCTTCCACAACTGATTTCACAGAACTAGTCAATTATTCATGTATATGTGTGTATTGGCAGGGGATGCATCTGAAATAACTCATTTCAGAAGGGTACAATTCTTGGTAGTATTAAAACTAATTTCAGACTTAGAAACATCAGCCCTGAGAAACATCAGGGTTGCATTTAATAATGAAAGCGGTTTCTGGCCCAGAACTGGATACCGAATTGATTTGAAATGGATCTAGAACAGGGTTGTCAAACTCATGTCGTCACGGTGTATCGTGATTCCCCCCCCCCCCGCTTCGCTAAACCAGGTGTGGGCATGGGCATGGCAGCACGTGATGCATCCGGCCTGCAGGCCAAGAGTTTGACAGCTCTGACCTAAGAACAATATCATCTAAGGGCTGGAGTCGGTTTGCAACCACTTACTGAAACATCTAATCCAAGGAAGTGATGTTGGCAACTGGCCTGAAGATCTACATATTTTTTTCTGTTACTTTTCTTCAAAAGAAGAATTTATAGTCCAATCTGGAGAATGTCTAGAAAGCTGCTGTAGCACAAGAAAATTTATGCAGCAGACCTTATGCTTCTCCATTCCAGCATTGCCTGCTAAGCATATGCATATGCATTCAATCTGCAGGTTGCAAATCTGCAAATGGAAGAAAATATGCTTCTTTGTTGTGTAAGCGCACATATGGGATGGGATTATCATTTTTCTGGAGCAAACATAATCTGATCATGATCTCATTGCATCTTTTCAGGCTTGGCTATCTAAACTGTCCTTTATCCTTTGTAGCACAAGTGAGTGATTGTGATGGTGATTAGGTTATTTTTTTTATTGTAGCCTGGATATCATACTAAAATGGTCATGTAACAATTTTATATATTTCTTTTGCCTTGTCTTAAATTAAGTGCTTCAAAAGCCCCAGCTTTTTCTCTTGCCTGTTCAATCAAGGATGTAGGCACTGCCAAAAATAGCTAAACATGTAATTTTCATTTGTCTCCTCCTTGATAGGAGTAAGATAACAGATTTAGGAGATATTCTTGGCTTCAGAACCTCTAGAGCAGGGATGCCCAGCCTTGGCAATGGTAGGACTTGCGGACTTCAACTGCTGGTTGGGGAATTCTGGGAGATGAAAGTCCACAAATCTTAAAGTTGCCAAGGTTGGACACACCTGCTCTAGACTATGAAGGCAAGCATGCATACACCCAATCAAAGAGAACATTGCGCTATGAAGGAGGTGCCTGTCGTTTCATTGCTCAAGTCTATATACAGGCTATATATACAGGGGTGGGATTCTACTGGTTCGGACTGGTTCTATAGAACCGGTTGTTATGATTCTGCGCAGTTCAGAGAACTGGAAAATTGTGCCCCGGCTGTCCCCACCCCTCTCTGCCCGCCCTTCCCAGTCAGTCCATATCGCGCATGAACGACATCTCTAACTGCATTCTCCTCCACCCAGTCACTCCTTAAGGTATTTTTTCCCCTCCTGATGATCAGCTGTTCCGACAATCAGCTGTGCCAGGATCCCCCTCGCTGTCTTGCCTTGCTTCACCCAGGAGGCTTCCCTGAGGCCCAGGAGGCAAAAAAATTGAAGCGGCGTGTGTGTGTGTGTGTATGTCTGCTGCAAAAAAAAAAAAAAAAAAAAAAGCCATGCCCACCCAGCCACATGGCAACGCCCACCTAGCCACGCCCACAGAATTGGTTGTTAAAAAATTTGAATCCCACCCTGTCTATATATGGTTAGACTTATTCCAGTGTAGCAGCTAATGTTTGCTATGCACACCAAAAAGCACAACAAATGTAACCTCATTCACTGGTTGTAGAAAACTTCCGTTTACTAGGAAAGGGGGTAAGAAGGAACTATAGAACCTTTACTTTTGTGTATTCTGGAGTGGTAGATTGTTTTCTCTGATGTTTTAAAAAAATTACAAGTTTTTTATAACTAGAAAAAATATGGTCAACTATTAGGGGTACCTTCCTTTGGGGTACCTAAGTAACTCTAAATTTCCTTTGGGGTACCTAAGTAACTCTAAGATATTCCAGCAGAAACTCTAAGATTCTGCTGGAATATCAAAAAGCCATTTAGACAGAACAAGCAATTAAATAATTCATTGCGTCTGTAAACAATCTTTGTCCATTATATTCATTAATTAATGCCTACTGATAATGCTGGAATTTTCCCTCATCAAAACATTTTTTTTTCATATTCTGCTTAAAGCAGCAAACCATAAGGTCATGGCAAAAATTCAACATGCATTTGATTCATGTGTGAATATACCACATAGTAAAACATCAAGAGGTCAATTGTCAACCTTATTTCTGCCCAAATTAGCCTTCATTTGAATTAAGAATTTTAGAGAAAATATGATTTAATATGAGTTTATGTTCAAAGAGTCAAGGGCAACCAGATTCAACCTGAGACCCTTTAAGATTTGTTTGAAGGGAAATTTGATACATGATTTATAATGGGGAAACTTCAAAAATGCTGCCGCATAATTTGGGGGCAGAATGTGATTAAAATAGAAGAGATGATCACCTCTTTTGGGATAAATGTAGCAGGGATGAGGGGACAGTAAATGAGTCTCCAAAATTTCCAGCAGAAAACCTAAACAGAAGTTAGCCGAACAAGCAAAGAAAGAATCCTATTCCAAATTGAAAACACAATCTTTCAAAAAGACATTTTTAAAAATAAATGTGCCTTTCCACTTGCTTGGAGCAACACTGAAAAAACAATCACCGACTTCACTTTGTGGTATGCTTTGCTGTCTTTAATAAGAGGCTCCTCTGCGATGTCTGGAGAATTGATGTATCTATTCAATTCAGTGAAGGACCTTCTTCACTGTCAGTTTCAGTGCCAAATTCTAACAACTCTTTGCATTCGCAAGGCAAATTTCTATGGAAAACTCCAGTGAAGGATCACTGACTTGCCTTTGTGGGATGTACCGTTTTGTTGCTTTTGCTAACTGGGATTTTTGGAGTACAAGAAGAGTTGGCAGGGGTCATTTACTTTTCACATTACTACCTTGCTGCAATCCAGAAACCCTCAGTAGCTTATTTAGAGCTTAAAATCCCAGTGAATATGCACCCATGTAACAACTATAAAACAAACAGAACACTACCCAACCAAGTAGAAAACTACAAACGAAACTGAAAATGGCTCATTGGTCTCTTATATAAAGACACCTTTAACATTAGCTTTAATGAAATGCCAGGTTGGGCACAGCATATGGCAAATTGGCAAGTCTAGGATGTCTGGTGCCAGGAAGGTTGGCATTACAAATGACAAGCTTGACTTCTCCTGGAAAATCCCTCCTCTCCACTGGCAAAGCTCAACTTTATCAGGGCCATGGCTTACTTGCAATAATCTTTGTTAGCACAAGCAGAATGGCCCAGCCTGACACTATATGAAGAAAAGCATTCCTTTCGAGCAATCCACTCTCTTAAAAACAACGGCCATTATGTTATATTGTATTTGATATGTCTACAATTGGGTCTTTTATTGCTTTCAGCTTTGCCGCAATGGTGAATCACTACAAAATTACTGTCCAGGTTTTTTTTAAATTGCATTTTCCCCCCAAGTAGACTGCTGCAATGTCAACTCGAACAGAACAGATCCATGTGTGGTCAAGTTGCAAGAGTAACACAATTGGTTTTTGTTTTTTGTTTTATTATACAGAAAGGCAAATAATCATTCTTTTGGTTTGTTTTTTTTAAAAACAGAACTCCATTGTTAAAACATTAATTCCAAGTGCAGTAAAATCTGAATATTCCATTATGAATAATAGTATTGAAGTGCATCACTCTATTGTAGAGAGATCTGTATGGACTGTTGCTTTTCCAGTGGCAGGAAGTATTTTACTCGGAAGCTAGGATAGGTGTTCCTCACTTGAACGGTGAATCTGCTACAAATGGATCCTGGTTTGGTTTTTTTTTATAGAGGTTACCATCTTCTCTTCTTGATCAAGCCCTGGGGTAACCAGTTCCACAATCATTTAGATGGTGCAATCATGATCCTCCTTTACCCATACATGCAATACAAGGAAAATAGAAAAAGGGATTGTCCACTTAAAAATGGGGACAGTGGCAAGAAACGAAGAACTCGGTCTCTGATACATTATGAAGTAGATCAAGACATTTTCCCTAAGAAGCAAGGGTCACTTCATGGAGAATCCTGTATTGCAACATTGCCCTTTTCTCAGTATTATCTGGACTATGTCTATGTACAAAAATAACCATCCAGAGGATATGGTCTTCTAAAACAGAGGTGGCTAAACTCTTGGCTCTCTACATGTGGCTGAGATTTAGTCTCAGCACCTTTTACTGCCACCAAATAGAGATTGCTAGTGGGTTTTCATGAGCTGAAATCACCAGCTCTTCTGTTAATATTTCTTTAGAGGCAATTCTGCAGTGACTTGGCAAGGTATTTTTTTATTGCTATCTAATAAACAGCCAGGACAGCTGTATCCAGTTCATTTCCTAGTTGGTTCTAGTCTGGCTGAAAAGGGATAAAAGTTCCTTACACAGCACATGTGTATATTTGTGTATATGAATAATTATCAGAAAGAAGGGTAGTGAGAAGCAATAGTTTGATTTAATGCAGGAGTTGAAATCCACAAGTCTTAAAGTTGCCAAGCTTGGACACCTCTGTATAATGCATCAGGCTATAACTGAATTTATTTTAATCATACTGATTTAGTTGATTTCTGTATGAATATTTCAATATATTAGCTTGATTGCACAATAGGAACATTTCATCAAGCTATGTACTGTGATAAAATGTGCAATGTTTACTAGAATTTTGAAATCTAATGAAATTATTTTGTGATAAAATTGTCAAATCCAAACACCCACAAAGAGAGAGGGGAGAAAAACTATATGTGCTCACTGAGAAACTGACTGCTACAATTGTCTATTTTCCTCCTAGCATTAAGTAGATGGAAAATGGGGTGCATTCAGAGCTAGCTTCGTGATGATGAGATAAAATCTCTAGACATTACTTTGGTCAAGGTAGCTGAACCTACTGCAAGATGTAGTTTAACAATACCTGAAGTCAACACTTTTGAGATTCTTCATTCACGAATTGCCCGCCTAAATGTTGGAGAACAGCTAGTTGAGCTGGAAGGCGGAGTTAAATGTGTCATCAGTTTGGAGTCATTATGTTGCCCCAACCAATTCCAACCATCTTCCCACCATGAATTACACTGATCCTTTATCTAGTTCCAATTTAGCTTTGACCATTAGTTGACTAGATTCTTGTATATGGGTAGCAGTAATAAACTTTTCTGTGCTTTGAACTCAACAAATGCTCTTGGGTATTTGCGCCTGACATTAGCATCACAAAATGGCAGTGGTGAGGATTTCAAATCTACACAATAAACTTATAAATTCAACAAGATATATAAAAATAGAGAGTTTCCACCTGTCTTAAACAACTTTCAACAAGGCTTAGAAGACTGGCACCCCAAATAGCACAACCTTATGAGTTCAAATCAACATTGCCAGGACTGCTCTTAAGTCCCTGGTTTCTAAATTTCTAAGTTTCCAAGAAAGTGATATTTCCAATTTAGGCCCTTTTATCTCCTAATTTTTTTGAGGGATCCAAGTTTCTACAAACATACAAATATTTATTTTAGCTAATCTGCACAAACTTAATCAAAGTTAGACATACATTTAAATCAACTGAGTTGATTTAAGAATACCATATTCCATATAAGAATACCATATTCCATATACTGTACAAAGTGAGCATGTTTTCTGAGAAATCTTACAAGTTGAGCATTTCACAACTGCAGCTCATCATTTAGAAGAAACATTCAAAAGAGAAACAGACAAAAAATTCCTTGTCTAAGGACTGCAATATGAATTAAAACAAATGCAGCTCCAGGAAGATTCTAGCACCCAACTTAAAGATACTAGCTAGTTCAAACTGATTAATATGCAAAAATCAACACAATGCTATGCCAAGTATTTTGAGTTATACATTAACCATATTTCTGAACTTAAGGAGATCTGTGGGTACCAAGAGCTGCATTCTCAAATCAATATTGTTGGGTAACATAAAACCATCTTAAGGAAATTGGCAGCAACTGCAGTGTCATTAAAAACTATTGACTGCTGTTTAGAAAGCATGACTTGGGGCCCCTGGAAGGTAAACTCACATTTGTTCAGAAATATTTCTTTCTATTATACATAGGTGGAATCTGTGAAAGGAAACAATCAGAACAACTCCAGCAATATTAGCATAATAACAGATATGATGTTGCTCAGAAAAGGCAAAAAAAAAAAATTTACAAGTTGTATTCCTAGGAATAGATATATTAAGAGTTAATCATGCCATGCAGTCAACCAAACCAGGTTTGATGAGAGAATCTCTTTCTACCCAAGTTCTCTTCCAATGCCACAAATAAAACTATTTATTTTTTATATTAAAAATCTTACTATGTGGCTCATATTAAGTAGAGTGGAGTAGAGCCACTTTACTTTCAGCAGTAGAATGCACACACAATTAACAGAGATAGCTGAGTTACAATTTCAAGTTGTTTGAATTGTGAAACACCTATTAAATACATCTTTAAAAACGATGTCAAGAATAAAAGCTTCTTAAAGTCTGCCCCCCACCCCTATTTTCCTAGTGAATTTACTGGATGTTATACAAAAAAAAATTAGGCCTTAAGGAAGGTCTAAATCAAAAATGGCACACATATTAATGCCAAGGTGCTGTGCCTGGTTAAGGAATCGGTGTGATAGGTCATGGTTGAATCTTCCAAGATAGAAGTATGAAGAAGACAGCAAAAAAGGGCCTTATACCACAAAATGACTCAGTGCTGCTGTTGGTATGGTCACAAGCATACATAGACACAGGCAATACTATACACAACAGCATTGTCTCCCATTAGGTTACTGCGCAGTCCTGCATTCTGGTTTGGTTTGAATGTACATATATCTTGAATTACTGAGTCAAGAGGTACATAGGCCTTGTGCTGCATATATGTCCTTGCACTGCTCCTTCTGTCCTCTAGTTGGAAGTCTGTTTTAAGATTGGGGCTTCTTCTGATACTAGGAAGGAAAATTTCCAGGTATGGACGTGATAAGAAATTATGGCTAATTAATCCATGAAGCACTGCTTATGGTTCACAATGAAAAAAGAGAAGATAATACAATGAGAGAATGCAAGGGTGCAAGTCTTACACATATTCTATCTTGGCTTAATAAGCTGAGAGTTCTACATCAAAACTCGGCTGGCATTGGTTTACATCCATAATTCATAGCTCACTTATTTGCCTAAAGGCACAAGGCAAGCATTACGCATATAAATTTAAAAACTTAACAAAATTATTGTATATACATGTGCAGGCCTTGGTGAAAACCCTGCTGAATTTGTTAGAAAAGGAGTCTTACCAGTCTCAGAAAGAACTGGCTAACGGGAACACACTCCTTGCTCCGCACAACACATGCACTCGGTGTTGCAAAAGTTAAATGCACGTGGAGACTGAGGGGGGTTATGGTTGCACCAAGATCTTCACAGGCATACCATCAAGAGTTATGACTGTTTAGAGATTATCCCAAAGAGTTATTCTGCATACAGCCACCCAAAAAAAAAAACCCAAACAAACAACCACCTCTCCCCAAAACACAACTTTCTTAACATAACAAAACACAAAGGCACATAGACACTTTCATTATTTATATATTCGAATTAAAAGGTACCTCTTAAAACTTTTTGAATGGTAATACAAGCACATAAATGGATGTCGTGCATTACGAAGTCAGTCATGTTATTGATACAGATCCACACACACTGCAGCAACAGGAAGAAATAAATTGTTATATCATGTAAATTATGCATCTTTACTAACACCACCACAAGCTATTAAATTATGTAAACAGACACCTTCTCTAAATAATTTAAAAGTCCATTTCTCAAAGGGGGGGGGAGACATTACTGAAGCATCGCTCGAACTTGCTTCGAAGTGGATTCATCATTCAGGTGTTTTGTGGTGAACCTAAAAGTGACAAAGACAAAAATCAAAAGGCTGGTATTACTTCCATGGGGAAAGGCAATTCTACACATCCCTCCACCGAAGTGCTACTTTGTTCAATAGAGCTGACTCCTAGACTTAATCTTAATTATATAATATTTTCCTCCAAAACCATTTTGCGAATAACTGGTAACTGATACCAAACACACCGAAAGGCATAGGATTAAAATTGGTCAATAATACCGTGTTTCTCCAACAATACGGCCTCCCCCAATAGGAAGTCCCAGCATGTTTTATAGGCATAAAATCAAATTAAGCCCCTCCCCCCAAATTAAGGCCTATATTAAACATGCGAAATGGGGGGGAATGGCGGGGGGCGGCTTGCCGTTAGGAAGTACTTTTGTTGCATACCCGGATATGGTGCTGCCTGCATTGACTTTGGCATTGGTGGGGCACTTCGTATCAGGAGACCTTCCGCCACCGTTGCTTTCCCTTCTCCCCGTGCTGCCGTGGCATTTAAAGCAATGCCGTGGCGTTTGGCGCAGCCATGCGTGGCCAGCCAGGGCTCCTCCCTGCAACTGGGGCCCGGCAGAGACACTCGGCTTCAGGCACTCCTGTCGCCGCCTTCCCTTCGCCTTCGAAGGCAAAGCCAATTCTTTTAAAAACGATGCCCTACTACCGGTACGACAAAGCCTCCTCTGCCTTAGAGGGCAGCCCAACCCCACGTGGGGAGGCGAATCTCCCAGGGCCGCAGCGCAGGATCGGCCCACCCCGGGAGAAGCACCCAGCCGCCATCCCTGCCTGGCGCCGGGCAGAGTGTGAAGAGCTTCGCCTGGGACGCCCAGCGCAGCTGACTCCCCGCCGGGCCCTCCGCTCATCCTGCCAGGGCCGTGCGGGCTGGGCAGAGCTGGGAAGCGAGCCGCAGGTGTGTGCCCGCCTGCCAAGCAAAAGAGCTGGGCCGACACGAGCTTGGCTTCCTTCCCAAGTCCCTCCAGCCTGAACCCGAAGGGGCCACCGGGAGAGGCTGCCCGAGGCAGTGATAGCACCCACCTGTCTGCAGACAGGGAGGCGAGGCAATGGTAGCGCTGCTTCTCTGACCGGCAGGTCCGGCGGAGACAGCCCGAAGCCGCCTGTCCTTTCCACCCCTCGCCCAGCCCGTCCCCATCCCACACATATCCAAATGCGCCGGCAGCTCCAAACGCTGCAGCGGCACGGGCATCAGGCAGAGGTGCTCACTCGGCGGGGCTCAGCTCGGAGGAGGACGCAGCACAGGCTGTCACCTTGCCTCCCTGTTCATGGATGGGTGGGCGCTATCACTGCCTTGGGTGGCCTCTCCCAGTGGCCCCTTCAGGTTCGGGCTGGAGGGACTTGGGAAGGAAGCCAAGCTCGGGTCGGCCTGGCTCTTTCGCTTGGCAGGTGGGCGTGCACCCGCGGCTCGCTTTCCCGGCTCTGCCCAGCCCACACAGCTCTGGCGCAGCCTTGGCGGGATAAGCAGAGGGCCTGGCGGGGAGGTGCTCGCTGCCTTGGCTAGAGCTCCGCTGCTGGGCAGGACCCACCTGTCAGCTGCGCTGGGTGCCCCAGACGAAGCTCTTTGTGCTCTGCCCGGCACCAGGCAGGTTGGGTGCTTCTCCCGGGGTGGACCGATCCTGTGCTGTGGCCCCAGGAGATTTGCCTCCCCATGTGGGGTTGGGTTGCCCTCTCGGGCAGGGGAGGCTTTCTCATACCGGTAGTAGGGCATTGTTTTCAAAAGAATTGGCTTTGCCTTTGAAGGGGAAGGGAAGGCGGCGACAGGAGCGCCTGAAGCCAAGTGTCTCCGCTGGGCTCCAGTTGCAGGGAGAAGCCCTGGCTGGACGCGCGTGGCTGCACCAAACGCCGCAGCGTTGCTGTAAACGCTGCAGCAGCACGGGGAGAAGGGAAAGCAACGGTGGCGGAAGGTCTCCCGATACGAAGTGCCCCACCAATGCCGAGGTCAACATCCAAGCCGTCGCCGCCCGTCCGAGGATGCAAGGGGGGGAATTAAGTCACCCCCGAAAAGACAGCCTAGCCGTTTTTTCAGGGGTCAAAAAAAAATAAGGCCCGGCCTTATTTTGTGAGAAACACGGTAGAAACAGCAACTATAGACTTACATAAAAAAATAATAGCATCAGCCATCGTTATACTCACATTATACTATCGCATATGTAATGAGTAAGCTTACGAAATTCATGGATTGAAATGTAGCTTATGCTGCTTTTGCTATAAACTTATACTACAGATGAGCTTGTGATATTGCTTCTCTAATGCAGGTAATTGTATCCAAGCTCATTGACTTTTCCCATTTTTCTCCAGCCTTGTCCTCATTTTCCTACTTCCATGTTTATCTGAGGAGACCTGTTTCCTTGCAATCTGCAATCTACTGAACTAATCATCTATAGGCCTCCACAACTGATGTTTTAAACCTGGAAATCCTGTGTAATAAGCAACTGTTCTGAGCCACTGTGTTGCTCATGCCTGTCCTTTGAGGGGGGGCGGGGCGGAGGGAGACCTGAATGCATCTAGAGTAGGCTTCAGCATCAGCCAATTTACACCTTTCACATTGTGCAACCTGGTTGATGTAAGCCACAGATGTTTGGGCAACTCCTGACATTTTTGATCCTTACGATTCTTTCTGTGCATGGAAGTAAGAGTAAAATTCAAGATGGAGAAGAATCCTCTCTATTTCTTCCTCCTCTCCTCCTCCTCCTCCCCCCTCTCTCCCTCCCCATAAAAAAAAGAAAAGCAGCTCTTTTCTAGCAGCTTCCTCAAGTGAAGAAAATAATCTAGTGGCTGAACTCATTCCTTTGTGGGCTACAGTTTTGCAATTAGTACATGGAGGGGAAGGGGAAAATCATGCATTATGCATATAAAAATAAAATATTTTTGGTCCAAGAGGTACCTGAGAGCATTCAAAAGCCCTTCAACTGCGTCTGGTGGCTGTTCTCTTAAAACCTTGATGCAACCCTTCATCTGTGAAAAAAGAAATGTGCAAGAAAAAAAGCCTGAATTTGGGTGCATGCAAAATACCCAAAGGTAAGGAATGAAAACAATGAATTCTGTCAGAATGGTGTATTTCCCTTGAGTTTTTCCCCCCACTAAAAGAACACCTCCTCCGCCAGACTCATGGGACAGCAATAGACAGGAAATAATTTGGTCTGCCTATCATACGCAGACTTGATTTGCTGCCTTCAAATCAAGTCTTTGTAAAATAGGACTCTCCGCAAATTATGCTTCAATTATGCCAAGCATCTGAGTCATTTTCCAACAAGATGGTAACAATTTTATAAGTACAATTACATGATCTCCCTGAACCCATGCCTCAAAGTCTTCACATAGTTTTGAATGCTGTTTAGAGCTACCAATATTAGGCAAAGCTGAAACTCCATAATTGATTTCAACTATACTTTTATCTAGGGAGCACTGCTGCCATTATCTCCCAGGCCTCTTATCTTCAGCTTCTGCAATAGGGGGCTTACCCAGCACTTTATCTCTCAATGCTGCTTTGAAGAGTTAGAATGGTGTGGGGACAGAGGCATGCGTGCACATTTGAAATGTTATCAATATAGAAAGAAAAGTGTGAGAAAGGGAACGTTACACTGGGAAATGCTTCTCGTTTTCTCCCTTGTCCCCATGTCTCTTTTCAAAATGCTGACGGTAAACTCTGAACATAACGTTTATAGTACAGCCTTGGGCTCCAATAGCGGATAGCTCCTCTTATTGGCTGGCCTGAGGGAATCTTCCACCATGAGGAGAGAAAAAGCAGCAGCAGCTGCTGAGATAGCAAGTGACAAACTATTATCTTTATTAGCTGCTGAAGTTACTGAAAGAACTAAGAACTTTCCTCCCGCTCCCAACAGCATACAGAGGCCAAATGCTCTTCAAGGAAAAGCAGCGGAACTATGTTTTCTGAAGGTATCAACTCCATCTCCAATCCACTTTATCAGCAGGATAAAACATTTAACTGAGGCAACTCATTTCCCTCTTTATCCCCATTTCTCTCTGAGGTGCATCACTTTAAATTGTAAATCTGGGAGTGGGGGTTGGTCATAAATTTTTCATTTTTAATATAATCGTTCCATCTTCAGTTGAACAATGTGCTGTCTGGGTTTAAATTGTAAATCCTTGAACAGAGATTGCCATTGAAGGTCCCTGCGCTAGTTCGGTGATCCTTTTAACCCAAGGCATTTAAACATGTTTCTGGTATATAGCTTGGCTTGGCTGGGTTTTGCAGCTGCTTTAAATTTTATTATTTGCTTTTATTGTAATTTTATTATTGCACAGAGTTTTATACTCAGTAATTAATAATCTAAAATGCTAACATTTGGATAAGGTGCAGGTTGTCTTCAGGAAACTATAGTGAGGTTCCAATTTTCTACTCTTTCTTTGCGCGTCATCGCAACATTTCATTGCGTTTTATTCAGTACTGTAAACTACTTTGAAATTTCTGCAACCCTATATGTCAGCGTAGAGATTTTAATCAAGTATTTTAAAGAGCAAAATAAAGATTTTTCTCTTTGCCAGACAAATATGGTATGTTTTAACCCAACATAATCGTCTTTTTTTCACAAGACCTGTGAGTTTTTGGCTAGGAATAAGAAAACCTTGCCGATCATTATTCTTACGTCTATTTTTGAAGCCTTTGAGAAAGCTCCCACTGGATGAACGTGGTCGTAGAGAATAATTACGCCAACCATTACTCTCATGCAGAACATGAGGGTTTCTTCGCTGGTGAATCTACTTCTATATTCTCTGAAACGTAAGATTTTTAAAAAATGGTATTAATGTCAGTATTTTTAAAATAAATATTATTTCAATTCATTTTCATCCTCCAAATTAAAAATACTTTACCTTCAATTCATTGTAGAAAAGGATTATTCAAGGGAGAATAACACAGAATAACAATATCAATGACTGCAAAGGTTAGCAAAAGTAGTCACTGCCAAAATAGAAGGCTTGTAAAAAAAAAAGTATGAGGGAGAAGAGCAAAGAAGACAGAGGATGAACACAAAGGTTTGTTTCCTTTCCAATGAACATTTATTTCACATTGTTGATCCCTATTCTACTGCTAAAGAGAAGTGGGGTGTTTGGTTCAGTCATAAAATGGCTGTAAGACACAAATAAAAATACAAGTGTGTTGATACTCTACAGATGCACACATAGGCACAAACACAAATGTCATTGCCCTTGATTTGGCTAAAGTTACCTCACACAACATTGTCTTTTAGAGCAGGGGTCTCCAACCTTGGCAACTTCAAGCTTGGAGGACTTCAACTCCCAGAATTTCCCAGCCAGTTTTGCAATTCTGGGAGTTGAAGTCCTCCAGGCTTAAAGTTGCCAAGGTTGGAGACTTCTGTTTTAGAGCATTGTGCTGCATTCTGAAATCGTGATACATTTAAAACAGAGAGCTGTGGAGGAGGATTAGTCTCTCATTGTCACTTTGGTGTTGCAGAATCATTATAATATAACATTAATATGCTTTGATAAGTCAGGAAGTTCTTCCAGCAGTGGGAAAGTAACACCTTCACAGAAAACTGATACCTTCAGCTGGTGGGAGGAGGCAGAGGAACATAATGAACTAGATTTGTTGTTTGAAGTGAGGTAGGAATAGATAGCAAATGGGCCATTTGTTGCAACATTTTGGGGGAAGAAACTATTTTTTCTTGGCATCCGATGCAAGACTAAAAGGTATGTTATGGCCTCCAGGATGGTTTACTTGTATCTTTTAACATTACACAAATCTTTTAAAGTTATTTTAGGTATTCAGAACTTTCTTATTAGATTAAATTAAATTAAAACCTGGCATAGGAAGTTCATAATTCAGGAAAATGAAAGGAATATGTAACAATGTGTAATTTTAATCTTGAATTCTTTAGGCTGCAAAATTATTCTTTTATCATGACTTTGAGAAAGCTATGTATCAGCAATTTTAAAATTACTGGATCGATAAAAATGTGTGAAAAAATATTTTAACACTACTATGTTTAAAAATATTTTGGCTTTAAATACTATTCTATTACGGTACTAAAACCTATTTGAAAAGAAGATGCAAAGGAAGGATGAATAAGTCGGTTGCTAGATGATGAAGAAAAGTAACTGTTGGCATTTCCTATATATAGTCATTTCAGCATGGATGATGGGAGCAAGGTTCACTGAGCTTTCCTGATAGAATGACCAATCTTCAAACATCAAAGCCTGTAAAAATACACAATTGGCTAAAAGGATAAGTCATGTGGAAAGTGACCTGTTTTAAAGATCTTTAACCTTTTCATCCTGCCATATCATTTTCCACTCTCCCCAACTACATATTGAAGTTTTAAAAAAATAAGAATAACAAGCCAGTATAATTCACTTAAGGATTAATTTATAACACAGCATTGCCTGTTTCAATATTTAAAAATATTTTTAAAACACCTTAGCTGTTCCTTTAAGAAAGAATATACTCAGAAAAGTGACTTATAAAATACAAAATAAAAACATGTCTATTACAACCAGCACCAGTAGCAATCTCTTTGGAAATCATTTGATTGGAAGCAAACAGAAGAAAGAAAACATTCCATTTAGTGGACTTCCCATATATACCTGTGTGAACAGAATGCAAGTTTCCACAACCCCTTTAATCTATATTCAGCAGGACTTCCTTTATGTTATGGTAGCTTTAGCATCAGACAGTCTTTATCTGACCTTGTTGGGACCTAGAAACTAACAGGGGGGAGGCCTACTTACTACATGTATGGGAGACTGCCAGGACCACCTCAGAGGAAGGCAAAAGCAAGCCAGTTCTAGAAGATGGCCAGGAAAACTACACTGTTGTGTTCATGAAATCACCAAAAAATTGAACACATTTTGCAGGATTGATTTCACCAACTTAAAGTAAAAAGTTTATAGATAAGGGATGATAGGTTCAATGGACTATGAATTCCCCAGAGAAGAACAAAAAAAACCTTGGCATAACTTATACTTTAACTCCGGAAGAGATCAAACTAGAACTAGACATTAGAAATGTTCAAGTTACTGCCAAACATGTCTGACATATACAGATTATTTCTAGATACAGCCAATGAAGTCATATATTTTCTGTTTAGTTCTGCATTGAGGATTTCAAACACCGGCCATGTCTGCAAGAGGCAGCCTCCTTATGCATAAGCTGCATCTAAGTGACACAGCAAGCCAGTATTCACAGAGGTGCTGGGGCAGTAATGAATGATCAGCATATTAGCCTACATTTTTACTTCAATGGCTCCTTCCGAATCTTCTGACAGAAAACCATGGACAGCGCCTACTGTGATGTTTTTAATGCAGAAAGGGGTAGGCAACCTGTGGCATCAGGGCTGCATGCATCCTCAAACTCCTTTTCTAAAGCCATCAGAGCCTCCTATATCACAACTGCTGAAAATCATCAGGTCCTTTCCTTTTCAGGTCGGAAATACTCATGCAAGCCCTCCAGAAAATCACATCCTCCTGTGAGTGATTCAGTCCTACACACTTTGCCAAGCTGCCCAAACCACCTTGACTTTTAGCTCCGCAAAAATGATCACACCAGCCCCAGCATCTCAAAAGTTTCTCACTCCTAGATATAGTGTGCTTGAACAAGGGCCCTTGTCTTATTTCATGGTGGTTCAGATGGCAGAATACATCACCTACAGCTAGTGTGTATTAGGGCTGTGGAGTGATTCATATTTGACAGAAAAAAAAGATGATGGATGATGATACAAGTGGTCCTTGACTTACAACTGGTTGTTTAGGGAGCAACTGAAAATACTTATGACCCAATTCCAAAGTTTCCATGGTTTTGTGACCAAATTTTGGGCATTCTGCAACAGCTCACATTTAAAGCCATTTACAGCATCCCCTGGTGACTGGTCATGTGGCTGCAATTTAGGACATTTTTGCTGATAACCAGTTTACTTTACTTCTGGTTTTTACGAAATGCCCCATAGCAAACAATGGATGACCTCAGATTCACTTAACAACCATGGTGATTCTTTTAATGACTGCCACAAAAAATGTCACAAAATTGGGTTTGTCACACATCTATAGAGATTCTCAGTCATCCAGGAGATGGCTGTTTCAAAAGTGCTTTCTTTCAAGAGGCAACTGGATTTTCTGGTTTTTCCTGGTGGGGAATGGAAGGATTTATATTCCTTGGAGACAGCTGGTCATTTGCATTCTTTTAGAGAGCTGTTGAGGCCACCAGGAGGTTTATCTGTGTCATCAGGGTGACCACCATTCCATTCCCCACCATCCAGTCAGAGCTGAAGAAGCTTCTTGGATGAGAAGTGAAACATCTTCAAAGAAAAACCAGAAAGTCCAGTTGCCTCTTGAAAAAGCACCTTTGGGTTTATCACATGATGACCTGCTTTACATACCCTCATGATTTGCAACCACAATAGGCAAGCTCCATTATGATCATAAGTCAAGGACTACCTGCATCGGATTTAAGGTAGTGTCAAAAGGTGTTCCATCTGCTTCCAATCACTTTTCCCTTTCAGATCTGGATTGTGATGCAGCATTCATCCCTGCCTTGCTTAATTGCTGATGATGATGACAGAAGAGTCAGTGGAGGCTACTGGAGCACTGCCCACCAGCAAGCTGCTCATTCACTGTTAAGCCAGAATCTTGGCAAAAGATAACTTGATTTTCTTTTTAAAAAAAAATCATTTCCTTATTATACAGCAACATTGATACATAAGTCATTTGCTCATAACTTACGGTGTTTCCAGCATGACTTTACATACACTGGCCATCGTGCTTAGACAATCTGTTGTATTCTCAATTGGCAACGTTTTATTCTACAAAAGTTAAAACAAGCCAACAAAAGTCAATTAGGGTCAGTTCAGACTTCTGATCTGATTTTGAGCTTTCTGAAAGAATTAAAATTTTTGCTCACTTCTACAACAAAATGGGTGGTAGCATTACTCAGCGTTTTCAGAACTGGCGTAGCTTCTGCGTAGAACAGGGACATTCTGTTAGCCATCTCATTGTTCACTTCACTTTCAATGTCAAGCTGTTTAAAACGTGAGAGAAGATTAGTGTTATTTGCTTTTTTAGAAAAGCAATTTTTCCCTATTGCTATATATAAATATATAAGAAGTTCCAGCTCATATTCAAAGCATACCATGATCCAAGCCTTGTAAACAAAGTTGCAAAATTATGCAATCTTTGTGTCCTAAGGAAAGCTGGAATTTTGGTTTTTTTAAACACTATTCCTCCTTTATGGAAACAGCTTTTGAAGTGGATTTTCAAAAGCATTGTATAGTACGAGGAAAGTTGTTGTGTTTAAAATACCACTACTATTTTTCATCATTATGAACATGTATGGTATCTGTTAATAATTTTTACATAATTTTTCTTACCATTAACATATGGCTTTTCTCTGCTAATCAGATTATCTAGTTTAGCAATCAGAAGAAAACACTCATCCCCACTGCATCAATACACAGAGGGATTCTGGATGTGTTTTGATCCTTGTCAACAAAGGAGTTGCAGCACAATAGAAGTCTAAAGGCAGAATCTCAAAATTTAAAAAATGACTGACACCATGCAAAGAAAACATTTCATGATTTTCAAAAAACACGACATATTTATAAAGTTATAAGCATGCCATTCAAAAACATCTCCTGCCTCTACAGCAGTGGATTTTTTTTCAAAAGTGTCCCCTGCTACAACACTTTTAAGGAAAGCAGGCAAAAACAAAACTCTTCAATTTAACCCAAATAAATGTAAATGAAATCTGCCTTTAGCATAACTACAAAAATTACACTGGAATGAATGTGGCAGGGAGGAAAGATAGTAGAGTCTGGATAGTTTAGGTAATACTCAAAGAAATAGGCCTGGTTGATTCTCTAACTTAGTATGAAGTAGTTTTCTATTGTTTTTCCTAATTGACTCCTAAATGAAATCCCCAATTCTGAAACGAAACATTTTACTCACATGCATGTTGTTTATTCTGTTGCGACTTAATGTCCTTCTATAATAGCTAAAGTCGTTTTGAATTGCTGGGTTTCTCATCTGAAAGAACAAAAGGAAGATCAACTTCTGTGTTCTTACTCAGAACCGACAAAACATTCTACATTGCCTGAGTATTGCTTTCTCCTTACTAACCTTAAGTTCATCAAAACGGAGAGTAAAATGCAAGATCTCTGCGAACTGCTTTGCTAGGGCTTGCTCTCGCTCTAAGTGTTGAGTTGGTGTGTAGGGTGGACAAGTCAAGGATTCTAATAAGCTCTGCAAAGCTTTTTCTGGAAAAAAAATCCAAAATATTCAGTTTTGTTTCATTTTTTTAAAAAAAGGAATCTTCCTACTGCTTTAGAAAAGCGATCACTTAAACATTCTGAAAATGTTCAGTTGCATAATTGAAGAATACTTGGAGGAAAACAGCAAAATACTTTACATGTGAAATAATTTGCAATTTACAGAATCAAGTGACAAAACTGCTAGAGGATCACTATTCACCACTTATTTATAGAGGATCACTATTCATTTACTGTTCATTCATTTACTGTTCACTAAGTAGTAGCACAGTGCAGGCATGATATTCCCCTCTGAAAAAAAAATCGGGGCCGGCCAAAAGAGACCCCCCACCGCACGCCAAGAAATCGCCCGCCCGCCCGCCGCTCGCGCCACCCACTGCCCGCCCGCCCGCCCGCCGCTCGCCCCGCCCGCCCCGCCCGCCCCGCCCACCGCTCGCACCACCCGCCGCTCGCACCGCCCGGGCGATTCCCAAAAAAATTGGAATTCCGATTTTAATCGGAAAAATATCATGTCTGACAGTGCAAGATTTCAACGCAACACTTAAGAGAGATCAAATCTGGAAGCCGATGCTTGTTGTGGACTCAACTAGTATCAGGGACTGGGAGAGGGGAAGGGAAAGCGGGGGGAGTCCTTTGGTAGAATTACATGGGACTGCAATTCAAACAAGTGGAAAATGTATATATTAGCATTCTTCTTGTCTGACTTTGATACAGGAAGCCTTCGACTTAATAACTGCAATTGGAACTGGAATTTTTGTCGTTAAGTCAGCACAGTCATAATGCAAGTCACCACATGACCAGACTCAATTTTATAAACATTTTACTGCAGTTATTAAATGAATCACTATGGCTGTTAAATGAATCTTGTGGTCATTAAGCAAATCCAGCTTCCACAACTGAATTCTTTGTCAAAACCTGGCTGTTGCAAATTGCAATCATGTGACTGCAAAATGTTGCAATTAGTCACAAATGTGAGCTGGATGCCATATGCCCAAATTGCAATCACATGACCACAGGGATAGGGCACAGTCATAAGTGCAACAGGGCAGATCATAAATCACTTTTTCCAAGGCTGATGTAACTTTGAACCATTGTTAAATGAATGGCTGTTAAGTCGATGGCTGCTTATAGAATTGATAACTATGGCCAGTCTGCAACTAATTAATCTGATGGAGTAGAATTTAGAAAGTTCATGCTATACTATTTATTAGTATTCAAATACCACAAATTTACCTCTTAGTTTTTATTGCAGCAAATCAACATGGTTCTTCTTTTGCATGCTTTATCTTTCTAGACTTTTTAATAGGCATGAGTAATTGGCAGCCAGCAATTGACAAGCTTTTTTTAAAAAAAAAACTCTTTAAAGCTTTCACAGCCCTTAGAAGTTCTACTTCTAAAGTCTGGTAACAAACTGACAAGTAATAAATTTGTGCCAGTTTTTGACAGCAAACAAAACCAAGCAAATTTAAATCCTGGGAAAAGTGCTGAATTTTCCCTTTTCTAAAACCCAGTAAGAGCCACATTTCAAAGTTGACAAATTCAGATCACCTTGTGTGATATCATTCTACCCTTGCAATTCTAGCAGTTAAAAAAAAATAACAAGAAGCTTAGCTTTTGTCAGCCTCCAAGTTATGTATCGCTGCTCTAACTACATTCTTCTAAGAATTCATGCACATGGTATTCAGAGGTGCCTATATCCAAGGGGAAAAAAACGTAACAAGACAGTAGAAAATGACCAATAATATTTACAAAAGTTCATGAGCTAGCCAGTTCTTGAGAGCATAAAAGACTCACCTAGTCTGAGAGAAAATTCATAGAACCGCTTTAATCTCACAACCAGAGGGCACACTGAATTCCACGCTCTTTCCTGCAGCTGAATATCATTTGGGTTTTGTATGGCCTGGAAAACAGTAATAACTTGAAAAAAAACTTCATTCATTTAATATCACAACGCCCATCCTGTCCTTCCCATGCACATACATGAATGGACAATCAGAATGAAAGCTAATTCTAATACAGTATGGTATTTGTCTTTCTCTCAAAGAATTTGGGTGCCCACCCCCCCTTTTTTAAAAAAAAATCCCAGCAGCTTTTGACAAGAAATCTCTTCCAACTTTTGGCAAGAGCAGTTGAGCTCCTATTTTAGGAATTAATTGATGGATGAGACGAAATTTGTTGGGGTGAGGAGAGAGTGGGGGGTATCCTTCAACAGAACATGTATATATGCATACGTACATATGTACAAATTTATTAGGATGTATTTTACTGAAAGATCTTAATTATTCTGGCAGATTTCTTACTTTTTAAAATATCTTTTCTCATCCAAGAAACACAGATCGATTGCTGGTCTGGTAAGCATGCTAGAAACTTTTCGGCCACTATTCACTGCTCAGGTCCCATTATTATTGAGGTTAATAACAAATAATAACCTTACGAAGAAAATCTTATCTGATGCAAATGTATACTTCTGTACATACTACAGGCTGAACAACTAGTTTTTAATTAAAAATAGCAAAGTGTAACACTCTAAGTTTAGATTATCATTTTGATAATTTCACACAATAATTGGCTGTCACAATAGGTTTTTTTTTTTAACTTCCCAAAAGGAGATCTCTGTAAATGTCTCTTAAAATGTGAATAACTCTTAGTTTTGAATGTTCAGTTTTGCATATTATAATTTTTTGTTATAATTTTGTTATAGTTGTGCTTTTAAAGTTGCAGCGACGTTTCGGCAGAATCTCATCTGCCATCATCAGGCTTCTGTATTGTGTTCATCCCAGACAACTTTAAAAACACAACTATGACATGGGAAAATACCCGAACAAAGCTGAATACCACACATGTAAGTACCCGCAAAAACTTAAGAAAACATATATATTGAACGCACATCTCTAATTTCTTGTCCAGCTCCTTTATAAGACTGCAGGTCTGAAAGCATACTTTCTGAGTCCTGTAAAACAGCATTGACTTGGTTCCATATTTCCCTTTCTCCATCAGAAGGCTGAGCATCTAGATAAAAGATAAAAAAAGCAACTATTGCAAAAAGCAGTCGACTGTTATTGGGACAATCACACAAAGTATAATTACTGTCAACTAAAGTTCATTGGTTATTTGATCCATATTTTACTACTTTCATATAGTTCTCGTGGCACTTTATCTATTTTCAGATTCATTTTATTAAATCATAACCAGGATTAAAATTAGGATTTCTTGCCACTCATACATACAAATAGGAAGAACTATTTGCAATTTTTAAAATTGTAATTGATTAACCAAACTTGACATCAAAGACACCCCTGGACTAAATTCAGCCTAGGTAAAGAAGATGAACTTTTATTTTATTTTTTTAATGCAGTTTTATATGCATCTCCAGGAATGTGACAGATATTTAATGAGTAAGAGTTCTCCCTGTTTCCAGTCTAAATAATAGTCCAATGTTGTGTCTTGCCCGTTACTTTTCATTTCTACTTCAGTAGCAAAATCCACTATTTTAAAAATAATCCTGACTTCTGCATAGATCATCTGGAAAGAAAAACTCTCCTCCCATCCTTCAGGTAATCATCTTCTCTAACAGAAGAGACCACACTGTCTGCATGTGCCTATTGACTGAGCCTAATAACTAGTTTTCTGTTCACTCAATGTTGCCTCATCCAGCAATAACATGTATTTATTTAACAAGTCTTAGAGATCAGCTCGGAGAATTGGAAGCATTTCCAAAGAATCAATTTCCTCCTGCTTCGTGAGCGTTAAATTAAAGTGCAGTTGTGAAATCTAACACTACACATCTTATGAGAGAAATACTTGCTGCAAATGTTCAAAATGCACTGGGCAAGTTATTAATTAGGTAGGAACGGTATCTAAAAAGTTTTACTTTTAACAATACTGCAGTTAAATACACTCAAGGTGCAAAGGAAAAAAACTTTATGAGGAAAAAAAAGAAGTCAAATCTTGTACTTCTTGATCACGCACAGTTCCTTTGGGTAGATTAATGATTATATGTGTTGTAAATAAATCTGGAGAATCTAAACTGAGTTAAGATTTTGCATTTATCACTTTAACATCTTAAACTCATTCCGATATGACAAGTCAAGTGAGGCACTGGGGATAATAGCTAGATAACGGGTGTAAAACCTTTCCATTGTCTCTGGAAAGGTTTGACTCAGCCATTACAGAAAGTAAAGTCACTATCCCCAACTACTTGATCTATCCAACTAATAGGTTCTCCTGCTTGAGCAGGGGGCTGGACTAGAAGACCTCCAAGGTCCCTTCCAGTTCAGTTCAGTTCAGTTTTATTCTCTATTCTATTCTATTCATTGTATTTTTATTAGCAATCCTCTTTTATCCATGAAACCTGATAAGCCTTTAATATAAGCTCAATATATATTGATGGAAAATTCAAATCCTTTTCACTGTAAAATTCACACGCCTCATATCTGAAATATCATGGTTATATATTCAGTAATTTTCATATAGTTTTCTATGGACTGGGGAATTCTGGTGTAGGGAAGGCACTTTCATAACCAATCAATTCAAATTCATAAGTGATGTGAATCTCTTAATATTATATTACAATCATATAATATTATACAATTTGGAGAACTGTACTATATTCTTGCATAATGCGTTGTGCTATTTTAGATGTCAACTTCTGTCATAAAACATATACATGTAGTCCTCGACTTACATCAGTTGGTTTAGTGACCGTTCAAGTTACAACGGCACTGGAAAAAGTGACCTATGACCATTTTTCAGACTTACAACCACTGCTGCATCCCCATGGTCATATGATCAAAATTTAGAAGCTTGGCAACTGGCTCGAACTTATGACAGTTGCAGTGTCCTGGGGTTATGGGATCCCCTTTGGCATCCTTCTGACAAACGAAGTCAATGGGGAAGCCAGATTTAACAACCGCAGTGATTCACTTAACGAATGTTTCAATTAACAACAGAAATTTGAGGCTCAATTGTGGTCGTAAGTCGAGCACTACCTGTATACAGCTCTTTTTCTTCCTAATTTCATAGTGAAGACTCTGTAAAGGTTTCCCTGTCCAGTCATGTTTGACTTTCGGGCACGGCTGCTCATCTCCATTTCTTGGCTAAGGGAGCCAGCGTTGTCCAAAGATATTTTCCTTAGCCATATGGCCTAGATGTTATAGGTGCATGGAACACTGTTACTTTCCCACAGAAGAGAGAAGCATTGGCATGCTTTCGAACTGCTAGATGGGTAGGAGCTAGAGCAAGGAACGGGAGCTTACCCCATTGCACGGTGCCTGGGTCTCAAACCTGGACTTTCAGCTCTCCAGCTGACAAACTCAGCATCTTTAACTGCTGAGTCATAGGGTCCAGCTAAACACACAATGCACTGTGTTGTAATTTGTTAACTTCAAATGGAAACAGTAACATACAATAGTTCCTGTCTGGCATTTCAGCTGTAATATCACATTTGAAATGTTTTATAGCAGAAGAAGGTACAATGTGAAGCCAGTCATACGTTGGTAGATAGCTTCTCTCTTTTCCTGATTGCTCGGCTGATGGAATTAGAAATCCAACATCATCTGACAGTCACCAGTTTCTCATTTCTGAGTTGCACTAGTATATAAACATTGTAGGTAAAGTGTCATGGTTTAGGGAAGGGCTGTCAAACATGCAGCGCACGGGGGAGATGTGTCATGCGCTGGCCATGTCCACTCCCAGTTTAGCAAAAGGGAAAAAAGTCACAATACGTCACACGAGTTTGACACCCCTGCTTTAGGGAAATGTATCAGTGTAATCTCTTTTAAAACCACGATGATAAGAGAATATAATAGCCTTTATATTAGTTGCACATAAATAGATTTTCTATGATGAATCCATATTAAATATAATACCAGTGTTTCATGAAAAAATGTTAATTTGAGCTTTCCCTTTACATTTTTTTAAAAAAGATGGCTGCATATCATCTACTATTCTGTGATTCTGGCATGATTTGCTTCTTTAATTTTGTAACATTATCTTGTAAAAGAAATATATTATATGAAGCAGCAGATTTTAAAGTTTAATGTAGCACGGATATTAATTTTGAACTGGAATCTAAATACCTAGAATCTCTGCATTCCATACAAGTACTTGTGTAAATAATTTTCAGGACTCTTGAGAAAATTCAAGTCTAAATAAATTATTGAATACCTTGAAAACAAAGTTCCTATGAGGCCTGAAAGTAATAAAATACCCCTTAGCTCAGGGGTGTCAAACTGGATTTCTTCAAGAGCCAGATCAGCAGCGTAGTTCTCCTCTGTGGGCCACTGGGTGGTGGTGGTGGTGGCGAGGGGGCAGAGGTGGCGGGGGAAGCGGGATGGATGCCTCCTGCAGCACCCTGCTGACCAAAAATGGGGCATGGGGGGTTGGCACACGGCCCCCCTGCACCTCAATTTTGTCCTCCATGGGCTCCTATAGCACTTCGCTGGCTGAAAACGGGTCACGTCGCCCATTTTCGGCCCTTCTATTTTACCGTTTTCCAGCCTATTTTCAGGCCATTTTTGGCCCATTTTTCAGCCTGTTTTTGTCCCGGTTTTCATCCCAGTTTCGGCAGTCAGAGTATTGCAGGCCAAAATGAGGTGCAGCCCCCCCCCCCCCCGCATACGGCCCGTTTTAGCCACTAGAGGCACCACAGGCCGGTCCCTTGATATTTCCAGACTGGCCCCACAGGCTGGATTTAAGCACCCCATGGGCTGGATCTGGCCCACAGGCCTTGAGTTTGACACCCCTGCCTTAGCAGAATTTCCAATCAAATTCTTATTATATTATTAACTCCTTGTACTGAGCTGCAACATTCACTTACCTTATTGTTTTAAAAATAAGGTATTAAATAGCACATAGGGATAGATCGCAACTGAGTGGATAAAGGGGATCTATTTAATGTAGTAGTTGACACTTTATGAGAAAACTCAAGCCACATGCACACTGCAAGCTGTAGTACACTGCAAAATGTAGCAAAAAAATTAATGTGTAAAAGTATATTATTTCACCTGCTTTAATACAAAAAGCTACAGGAAATTTTTCGTTGCTATGCAAGATGGCTGTTAAGTGGGTCATGCCTGATTTTGCATCTTTTTTGCCACAAGTCATGGCAGTTCTTAAATGAATCCATCTTTCCCTATTGACTTTGCTTGGGAAGATTGCAAGTCTTGCAATTTTGTAAGTTTGCCATTATCACAGGACCCTGGGATCCTCTAACCATCAGAAATGCATGCTGGTTGTCAACTGTCCAAATTTTGATCATGTGACCATGAAGGTGTTGCAATGATCATAAGTGTAAGGACCAATTGTACGTCACTTTTTTCAGTGCTGTTCTAACTTTGACTAGTCACTAAAGTAATGGTTGTAAGTCAAGGACTATCTGTACAGGTTTAACAAATTAATAAATTTAAATAATTAATAAATTATGATCACAAGTAAATGGGAAATGATTGTCTTATATTCACTGATAAGAACAGAAAAGAGCTACTGGAAACAGAAGAATAAGCAAAAAACATGATACCCATGAAGATTTGCCTGAAGTTAAGCTGTTGCCTAGCAGAGGCAACTTATAATACAAATAGTCCTCGGCCTACAACTATTCATTTAGTGACTGTTCAAAGTTACAATGGCACTGAAAAAGGTGACTTATGACCGTTTTTCACATAACCATTTTTCACACGACCATTGCAGCATCCTTATGGTCACATGATCAAAAATCAAATGCTTGGCAACTTGTTTACATTTATGACGCTTGCAGTATCCTGGGGTCATGTAATCCGCTTTTGCGACCTTCTGACAAGCAAAGTCAATGGGGAATATCCAGATTTACTTAACAACCATGTTACTAACAAGTGCAATGATTTACTTAACTGTGGCACGAAAGGTAGTAAAAGAGGGCAAACTCACTTAACAAATGTTTCACTTAGCAACATAAATTTTGGGCTCAATTGTGGTCGTAACTCAAGAACTACCTGTACTTAATAAGGCTCTCTTTTGCTTCTATGTAGTTACCTCTTTTATCTCTCTTTAGTCATTTAGTTTTCCTCCCCTTCTCTTTTCTTCCCAGTGCAATTGGAATCCCGTCTTCCCTACTTTTTTTCATTGCTGTTTCTGCTGAAAGGGGAAAGGGGGTGTATATGCGTGCATGTATATGCACATGCGTGTATACGGGGATAAGCAAGACTTATGTGTACGTGAGAGAAAAATTCTACATGCAGATGGGTCTCCATTAATTGTGTAAATGAGTAGCTTATTTTACAGACAATTAATTTAATTAGCTTTAATCAATTCTATCTATTATTCTATTCTATTCTATTCTATTCTATTCTATTCTATTCTATTCTATTCTATTCTATTCTATTCT